TTGTTTATGCAGTAAAACTTAAACTGATCCTGCCCCCCCCACAGCCCCCCCCCCGCCCCCCCCAACCTACTTAAAAGCAAGTCCAGTCGACCAGTTCCAGATAACAGAGCCCAAATACAAGGGTGGGTCAGGTCAGGTAGAGATAACAGAGCCTGGATGCAGGGATGAGTCGGGCCAGGTGACATCCAATCAGTGGAGCGTGCATACTGTCTCCCTAGCTACCAAGGAATATGGGCCCCGCCTTTTGGGCGCCAATTCTGACCAAGGTGATAGGCTATGGGGTGAATTGTAATTCAATTGGCCACCTGTGTGTGACCTAGCATGACCGTGCAGCTTTCTCTGTGTGTTGCAATCTCACTGGCCACCTGCGTGTGGCCAGGCTCAACCACATGGCCTTTCCTCTATAAAAGTTAGTCTGTAAGGCAGGGAAGGGTCACCTCTTTGTAAGAGACAGCCCCAGCCGGTCGGTTTGATTCTCGATGCTTGGTGGGAAATAAAACTTTGCTTGACCTTCGCTTTGTATCAGTCTCGCTCCTTTGATTACGGACCCAACAATATTATGTAGGTTCTTTATATAAAAAGAGAAAACAACTTTGCACAAATTTGTATTGATGAAATTCAAAATATATTAGCACTAGCATACAATCTTCTGGTAACGCAGGTCTACTAATAAGAATGAAATTATTTTTCAGGGATAACATTTCACATAACTGGGGTCCAAAGTCAGTGTTTTCTATCACCAAATCAACTGCAAATGTTCATCTATAGAAGCAGTCTCAGTTCCTGAGCTTTACAAAATGGTCTGGACCAGCCATATTTACTTTGCCATGCCTTGCTCTAAGTACCAAAGTTGCTTGAGAAACAAATTAAAACACAACACAAACCTCTTAATTTCTAAGAGTCAGCTTCTAAGCCACTGCAATTCATCTGAATAGGAAAATTTTAAATTTCTTAACATACAGTGCCTTATCTTTAACCCTTATTTCTACCCAGCAATTTATTCTTCCTTGACTCTTAGCTGTGAGCTAAGTATAAACAAAGAATAATGCTAAATGCAGAAGAGAAATCTAATCCTCTTAAAAATCTTATTATGTAAGAATCCAGGTTATATAGGAATATAACTAGGAAATGAGGAAAACAGAAAGTAACCAGGATTAAATAATTGAGGGCAGTAAATGACATAGTAAGATAAAAGCAGAGGAGAGTTGGGATTTCTCTATCAAACATGTTGTGGGTGGAAAGGGGAGTTCTATTCCATTAAAATTTAATGAAAAAGTTTCCTGAACACTTTTGGCAATATTAATTTAAGGTAAATATTTAGTTTTTAAATTTACTCTGGACATTACTTTGAAAAATGTAGTCATCCGATTCTAAGCATTCACACTGATAAATGCCTTTGTAAAAGTTAAGAATATCTCATTAGCTTTTTGAAGGTAGCTGTATTCGGGTAATAGCTCAGTCTCACCAACAAAGGCCCTAGACTAGAAAATCATTATTTTTGTCAGAAAAGGATGTGCCTGACTCCTACAACTGCCAAATTAAAGGAAATTACTTGCTGCTAATAATAAATGAAGATATTAAAATTTAATGTCAAGCGACATATTAAATATTTAAAATATTTTTGTATGAATGATAAAATTAACAATTTTAGTTTTCTAATAACTTCACTGAATTAGATGGTGGAAAAACTAAAAACCAACTAAACAAGATATACAAACCTAACAGGATGGGGCTGGAGAGATAATACTGCCAAATATAAGCATTATAATTTAAAAATATCTTTTTTATAACTTTTTCAGCAGAGTCCAATGTGCTTTACAAGATTAATTTTTAAAAATGATACCCTTCTGGAAGAAGGGTATAGACCTACTGATTTTTGTGCCTAAAATATTTGGACTTCTGATCTTAGCACTCTAAGCTATATTACAAAAGCATTCTTATTTGACAAGTCTCCTCTTGCCTAATAATTTGATGTAATACAGCAATCAAAGTTCCTAAAACTTTCAAAATTGATAAAATAAGCCAAGTGTGAGAAACTTACAGTGTAGAAGTTGGAAAGAACTTGTTATTACCCACTTACTTTTAATAAACCTCAACATATATATACATTTTTAGATTTTTTTACTTATTCATTTGAGAGCGAGAGCATGCCAGAAAGAGAGCTCAAGCAGGGGGCAGGGTCAAAGGGAGAGGGAGAATCAGACTCCCTGCTGAGCTTTAGAAAGCCCAACAGGGGGCTCAATTCCAGGACCCTGGTATCATGACCTGGTCCACCACGGCACCCTAACCCTCAACAAATTTTAACCTAAACTAATAGCTAACAGAGGGTGGAGAGCTTGCAAAAAGAAGCATGTGCATTTTGGGAAAGTTCTCCAGGTTTCTCTAGTATTCCACACCTGATCCAGAACCAATATTCTGCATAGTTCAACAGCCAAATTTTTAAAAAATTGCAATTCTGTTTACACAACTGTATTGTCAGTGTTAGGACAAAATTCCCAATTTTAATTTCCTCTGGTTCTAAAGGTGATCCAATTTGAATACACAGCATTTTTTAAACCTCATTAAAGCTGGAAGTCATAAATTTTTAGAACTGAACAGCGTATCAGAGATCATCTAGACTGAATTTTTTTTTTTTAAAGATTTTATTTATTTATTTGCCAGAGAGAGAGCGCGAGCGAGCACAGGCAGGCCGAGTGGCAGCAGAGGCAGAGGGAGAAGCAGGCTCCCTGCAGAGCAAGGAGCCCGATGTGGGACTCGATTCCAGGACGCTGGGATAATGACCTGAGCCGAAGGCAGCTGCTCAACCAACTGAGCCACTCAGGCATCCCTAGACTGAATTTTTTGATTCTTCAAGAAAAAGAAACTAAGTCTCAAAAACATACCAAGAATCATCACAAACTAGAGTAACAGACCTGAGACCTCAACAGTACTGCCTTGACTCTTAGTTCCCTTTTAACCATTAGACGGAGGTGCAGGAGACTCCTCAGGCACTTTGATATCAGAATTACATACATGAGAAGTAGTCAAAAAATTTCCATTTCAACAACCACTTAGTGTAAAGAACCTTACTTAATTCAGAACCCAAAAGTTTTAAAGTAAATATTTATCTTCATAGTATAGTAAATATTAACAAATTGAGTTCTGATAATTTACTAAATTCCCATAGTATAAAATTCCAAATTATTGCTATTTCCATCTTAATATCTTACATTTAAGTAAAATGATCCAATTCTAATGTTAAATTATTTTCTTCTACTTAACTATTCACAACGCAGTTATGATTCCAGCATAGTGTAAAAGATTAAGGCTGGGAATCAAGACATCCAGGTTTCTGCCTCCATTTTACAATACTCTGTTAGCTTAGTAACAAATACCAACCTCTCTGACTCCATTGCTCATCTCCTGATCAGTGATTATCATAATGACAGTAACTATTTATTTTAAAAACTTAGTGCCAGGAATGTTATCTATACTGTTTTTAATTCCCACATTTTATAAGATAGGCATTATTCACCTATTTTACAGGTGAGAAAACTTAGGCTTGGAGAGATAAAGTTTCCCAATAAACTGAGCTTTTTAGTAGCTGAGCTGGAATTTAACACCAGCTCTGCCTAAACCAACCTAGAGCCCATAGGTCCTTGTGTTACACTGTTTTGCTCATATCCTGATATGTGTGATCCTAGAGTGGTTGAGTGAACAAGCACCACATTTGCAGGACTATTAGGGAGAGAAAAATGATAAAACAAATAAATATATATGCTGGGTAAACATATTGTGGCACTTTCTTCATATATTAAGCCAAAAATGAATTTTTAGCAAAAGATTTAAGTACTATGCTATTGATAATATTCTTACCACTATAAACTTAAAATTGATCATTGTACAATTAAAGGATATATTGATTTTGCTTTTAGAAGTAACATCGCAGATTATGCGTAAAGTAGATATCTTCATGCCTATTCCGTAATTGAAATAAAATTACTCTGAAAGTCCCATTAAATCACATACACAGATTTAAAGTATTTAATAAAATTAGAAAAATGGCATAACCTGAAAGAACAGAAGAAGTCAAGAGAACCTGATACCAGTTCCTGCCCTTCCAAACAGATAAAAATACCATCTGGTGTACCAGAAAAGGGGATGTATAGATTTTAGTACTGGACATCTCTACGAAGTATTTACATTCTAGTACCAACCTACCTCCACCACTACAAATAGATGAAGATACTATGATTGCTGTTCTGAATTCAAGATGCTTCTCCAAGTCTGTCATGTCTTATATCAGTAAAGTGTTCAGTAGATAGTGTACAACTAATTCTGTGTATAGTCCTTGACTCTCTTTTTAAAATTTAAATTCTATTATTATTAAATGCGGCCTAAAAGTAAAAATTAGAATTGGAGATTCTGGTTATCTTTTATCTCTATCAATGCCTTACAACTAAAAGCATATACTAGCCCAAAATGAAAGGTACTGTGCGTACTTCTGCTTTGTGTCCTAATATGTGATCTGGGAAACTTATTTATATAAAATCATCAATACCTCTATGACCCTGGCTCCTTTCCCTTAACAATGGCCAACGCGTTAATCTCTGTAATCCCCAACACGGGTAACGACACTCTGACCAACTCAATTCTCCCGGAGTTACATCTAGACAGAACTTCTTTTTCCCCCACTGTGTTTTAACCTCTATTGGAGGCAAAAAGCCCGACAGAACCACACGAACCGCACATTAAAGGGGCGTTCTTCATCTGACCCACCCCCTGCATTAAACATTCATCCCGTCTGAAGCCCTGGAAATCGCAGGAGGAAACTCGGACAAAAACTGCAAAATTCCGGAAACACACAGAAAGAAACAGGAGAAACAGAGGAAGAGGAAGAAGACGCGGGGGAGGGCAGAGCCAGCCTGTCAACCTCAAGGGAGCTGAGGCTGGAGTAGCGCAGACCCGGAGGAACCCGTTCCCGGGCAGCGCCAACTCCCACTGCCGCTCCCACCCCTCACCTCGATCTCGCGGATGTTGTTGGAGGTGACGAAGATGCCGATGCCAATGGGGATGAAGATGAGGCCGATGATGAAGAAGGTAGGGAGCACCGTGCCAGCCGTGAGGATGGGCTGCCAAGCCGGCAACCGTTGCTGTTTGAAGGCCGTGTTATCCGGTCTCCGGTTCTTGGCGGTGCCCCCGGGAGGACATTGGGGTCCACCATCCACTTCATCCTTCGCATTATAGTTCATCGCCATCGACCCCCACGGCGCGGCTCCGCGACGCGCAGGTGGACCACCCAGGGGACCCGCCTGCTGACCCTGACAGAAGACGCGCAGGCGCCGCTGCCGCCGCCACCTCCGCTGTAAAGGCGGAAGAGGCGGGACACCCTTCCGCAGACGGCCGCCGACCGGAAGCAGGTGTCGGCTGGGGACGCCAGAGGGAGGGAGAGAGGAAGGAAGGAGAAGACTGAGGACTAGGGGAGGGGAAAAAGGGAGGAGGATGGAAGGGGGAGGGAAAAGGCGGACGCACCCTGACCATCTGCCCTGTGACGACAAAGTGAGGGCCTCAAACCCCTGAGCGTGGAGCAGCGTTGCGCCTGCGCGTCCCTGGGAGCGAGGGTGTTTGGACGCTTACGCAATAGGTGTGTCTTTGCTTCACTCTCCCAAGCTTCTGTTTCCGCTCACCTACCTCCTGCTGTGGTTATCATGGCGACGGCGCTGCTAGGTCGCCGGTCCGACTCTCCCGGCCCAAATCACCTTCAACATCCCTGGAGCTGCTGACAGAGAAGGCTTTCTGCTGACTTGGGCGCCAGACAGGTTTTTGTCTTACCTCGAAACCCTCTCTGAAGGGAATCGGCGCATTTAAAAGACCCTGCCAAGAGAGCTTGAGCCTGGTGGGATGGCAGTGTTTGCCTGGTTTTCTCTAAAATTTTCTCTAAAATATATAAGCGATTTTCTCTAAAATATATAAACCTCAACTCAAGGCACAAATGTAAACGTTAAGCAAGATGCGTGGTAGGTGACCCTTTTGTACTAAGTCAAGAATAAATCATGCCAATTGCTTAACCCCATTATCCTGCCACTTGTTCTCACTTTTTCCCTCCACGAACAGACTTAATGTTACATTTTACCTTGTTTTCTGTACTCATGTTTCTCTTTTGCACATTGATTTTGGAAGTCTGTTGTAATAAGCTATAGGTCTTTACTAATAATCAAAAAACCTCAACAAATTACGGCATCACTATAAAATGAGATGCTATGTAGACAGTTTAAAACAACTAAGGATTTGATGATCCAAGGAGATACTCCTGATATATAAAAAGTAGCTAAATGATGCCAAAGTACTATAGATATATAGAGTGTAAAGCCCCAAAAAAGTAGTGGCAATCTATTTTTTGCACTACATATTTTTTGCTCTTTTACCTATTTTCCAAATTTTCTGCAATAAGCATATATTTGTAGATTTTTTTTAAAGTTATATACATTTCACATTATATTGGCATCTTTGAAATCCAGGCCAGAGAGTAATTCATATGATATGAAAACATACCCAAACTTCATTTTCTTTCAGACTTTGTATTTATGCCTTTTGGGTTTTTTTTTTTTTTTTTCAGTTTATTTTATTTCTTTTCAGTGTTCCAAAATTCATTTTTTATGCCCACACCCAGTGCTCCATGCAATAAGTGCACTCTGTAATACAGGCTCACTCAACCCCCCCACCCTCCTCCCCTCCAAAACCCTGTTTGTTTCTCAGAGTCCACAGTCTGTCATGGTTTGTCTCCCCCTCTGATTTCTCCCATCTCACTTCTCTCCATCTCCCAGTGTCCTCCGTGTTATTACTTTTGCTCCACAAGTAAGTGAAACCATACGATAATTGACTGTCTCTGCTTGGCTTATTTCACTTAGCATAATCTCTTCCAGTCCCATCCATGTGGATATATTTATGCCTTTTGTAAGGTAAACGAAGGAAAGGAAAACGAAGAGTGTTTAGGCTTCAGATTTAAAATTAAATATATTTTCAAAATGACTGCAAATCTCAGGATGTGAGCCAATCAAATATTTATCTGGCAGAGAACTGGCTTACTTGCTTTTGCTCTTCTATGACACCATTATCTCCCCAATTCTTAGCACTGTTAACATAAGTATTTTTTTGTTTTGATCTATGCAAGTTTACTTTCAACCTAGGGTTCAAATGGAAAACATTCATCCATCACAGTTAATGGAGAAGGCATGGAATACTTCCGCTAAGTTCTGTTGGTTCCCAAAAATATAACAATACTGGACATAATGCAAAAATACAAAGCAAAAATACAAAAATATCTCTAGCTGTATTATCACATCCGCTAAATGTCATAGTTCCTTAAGAGAATTGCTACCTCTGTATTGTGTATAAATGGTCAGTTATTTTGCCCTCAGATTTTTTTTTTTTGTTCTAGTGATCTGAGTGATGGCAATATGTTTATCTGCTTTTTCTTTAGTTTTGTTTGTTCATAAGAAAGATTAACTCCTTATCTCTTTTTCTTATTAGAAATTCCATTTTGACTGAAACAGAATTGTAGAACTGAAAGCTTCCTTAGATGCTTCCTTAAAACTTAAATTTTCAGATGAGGGCCAAGTAGATGAAGAGATTTTTCAATCTCTTGATATCCTTTATAGTTCCTTTTACTCTCTGTACTGAACCATCACGATATGCTGCTTTACCGAACTAATTTTTTTTCACATTCACGTCATTGTCTCAGGGGACTCAGAATTTTATGCTTTCCTTTTTATACATTGTTTTATGATTGTCCTTACCAGGTAGTTTTTTGTTTTTTGTTTTCATTTAATCTGATGAGGTAGAAATTCAGCATTTCTGGTATAACAAAAGAGAGTGGTCTCACAATGGATTACCAATATATGCATTTTTCTCTGTGGTTCCTGGTAGTGACTGGGGTGTGTGTGTGTGTTTTGATGATACATGTAGATAATATTTCTCTTGTTCAAATGATTGTTCACTTGCTGATTCCTGGGGAAAGAAGAATTTACATGGCTAAATGATATTAATGCCATTTACCAGGTCAACACAGTAAGTGTGCAAAGAATGCATGAGCCCATATATAAAAGTAAATCCAAAATAATAAAGCAGAATGCAGACCCCATGATCTGAAAAGATGTATATAAATAGCTTTTGGCAGGGTAGTTTTATAATAATTTTTTATTTTGTAGCTCAACTGGTGTGTTCAAGCCACCAAACTAGGTAACTAGAAACATTAAAGAAAAAATATTACATAACTATTGAGTAACTTAATTAAGAAGAGGAAACTGAAACTGGTCTTTTTACTGTTTAGCCAAAGGGCCACACAGATTTGCTTGTTAGACACCTTTGAGTATTCGGTGCTGCTTAAACTCTCCAGTTTCTAGCCATATTCAAGCCATTTCATTCACAACTGTAGCGTAACAATGTTTAGGAAAGCTGAAGAGACCTAAAAAAATGTACCACAGTTTTTGCCAGCATGAATTTTAGAGAAAGTTCTTAGGAACTGGAAATGGTTTGAATTGTTTTCAGTGACTGGGTGGTATTTTTACTTGTTTATTTTTGAAGAAAAAAAATTTCTATGCAGTTAATCATGGCAGCTTACTTTAGAGAACTTTGATGGGACTAAATCATATTCATGTTTAATGGAGAAAATTTTTAGGGAAAGAATGATAGAGAATTTGTGTAATAAATTTAATTTGTTATATTTATTTGCATCAGAGATTGGTTCCAACTGAAAAATTACTGCTTTTAAAATTGACCTCTTCCTGTTTTTTTGTTGTGTATTAAACTTTTTCAGTTAGGCATTTAAGAAAGTCCTTTTGTTCTCACATTAAGAAATTATCTGATTAGCCTGAGGTCATTGGTGGTGTGCTGAAAGTTTTTGCAGGTTCATGAATAATAATCATAGTCAGAAATAACAATTCAAACAAGGTATTTTAATGGTAGTCTCATAGAGGAAAGAGTAGGCAGCCTAAGAACTTGGTTTTGGGGAGGAAATTAAGGTTTCTTTTCTCATAATTCTACACTTTCTTTAAAAGAAAAATTTTAATTCTGATAAGACTTCAGACTTCGTGACTCCCACTGTAGACACTCTCTCAATTGATTACGCCCATGGTGCCATCAATTATAGATAAGGGCTTCCTTCAAATAGGATGTTGCCATCGCTAAGTTGACAGCCAACTGACATCTATTATACGTAGATAGTGAAATTATTTTTTAAAGGGGACAGGCAGAGGAAGAAAGAGACTTACTACTCCATGAGAATAGACACAGTAAAGTAGATCTTTAAAAATGTTTAACCAGGGGTTCACGCGTGGCTCAGTCAGTTAAGTATCAAGTATACTCTTGATCTCAGCTTAGGTCTTGATCTCTGGGTCATGAGGTCATGAGTTTAAGCTTCACACTGGGCTCCAAGCTGGGCATGGAGCCTACTCTAAAATTTTTTTTTACATGTTTAACCACTTATAGTCACATTTGGACTATTTTTGGATATATATTTTTATGTTCAAGTTTTAAAATACGGGAAATCTGAGGGGAGGGGAGAGGTGTGGCAGGCATTCCATAATTATTTGTTTTTGTTGAAACACTTGGGTCACTACTACCTATCAAGTTTTTATTTCTTTAAAATATCTCTAATGTATTCTTGAAGGATGACTTTCACAAAATGAACTTAAACGTGAAAGTCAACTTCTGCTGAGCCTGATAAAGGAAACTTTTTTTTTTTTTTTGTCAGTGAAACTAAATGTTTATGACAACAAATAACCATGACCTCCTAGACTTCCCTCTGACCAGTGCATGGTGAGGGACAAAGTAGGGGTTCAGCAAACTCTTCCACAACATTTTTAATTTCACTGAATTTTCTGAGAAAAATAATCTACACTCCCTGCCTTCAATTCCTAACCCGTCCAACCTACTGCTCCCCTACTTCAGACCCTACTCTACTGAAACTGCCTTGCTAATTCCTACTCATCCTTCAAGATGCAAGACAGTAGCGAATTTGAGGAACCTTTTTTTGTCCCTCAGGCTGTGCTAAGAGTTTCTCTCTGAGTTCGTGTCAACTTATACATACCTCTATCGTGTCAACTTATACATACCTCTATCCTCTATCCTATTACTTACCGTAATAGAGAAATAATGCTTATGTCTGTCTTTTCTACTAGAGAAAGCTTCTCAGGGTCAGAGAATGTTTTTATGTGTCTCTATATTTAAACACCTGGAAAAATGCCAAGGTCTTAAAGACAATTCAGCATATCTTGTTGAACTAACTAGACCTACTCTCAACTCACATTTTAGTGGAAGAGACAACTTGCCAACAAACAATTGAAATATAATGAGGTCAGTGCCATATAAGATGTGTGCACAAGGGTTTATAGGAGATGCCACACCTCATCTTCTTTATGATGTAAAAAACTAAACTG